CCAGAGAGCTTTCCAGTGTGTGACAGGGGCAGGCAGCTCCCTACATAGTGTGTCCGCCCGGCAGTGGGGAGAAGCCTCATGCAAAGACCTCAACGCCCCCTCCTGACTCCCCTCCTGGGGTCTGTCTGGGAGGCCTGGGGGAGGGGCTAATGGGGTTAAAACTCCAACTGGGGCATAGTCACACCTCCGGGTCAGATGAAGGGTAAGAGGAAGGGGAGTTGTTAAATCAGGTCAGATGCCCGGGCACATTTACAAGAAGTCAGCTGAGTGAGGGAGCATTCAGAGAGGTGTGCAGTGAGCCAGCTGGGAGGGCTGTTCAGTGTAAAGAGAAATGCGAGCGAGGGGAGGAAGGGCTCAGAGGACAGGCAGCTGGTTTGGTGTTCTTCACTGGGGGAAGGCAGTGACAGTTGAGTCCTTGGGGAAGGCAGGACAGGTGAGTCCCGAGGGCTCTAGGGAAAGCCTCCACTCCCTCGCCCCTTCCCCTCTGAGCCCGCCCTGGGCACCCTCAGCCGTATGGGTTAAGTATTACCCTTCCCCTGCAACCATACACTAGATATTTGTCCCTTTGGGTCCAGATTGCCCTCTCCGGCACTCACTTACAAAAATATAACTGTCCCGGAGGAAGGTGGACATTCATCTGCTAAGTGACTGAGCCGAAAGAAGGCGGGGGTGGCCTTGAGGGGCTCCTTCGTCCTTTGAAAAGACCCCAGGGTGCAGGGGTGGGGCAAGCGGAGGGTCCCAGGGCCCCGTCTCACCCTGCGCCCCCGCCAGGTTCCACAAGCTGGAGAAGTGGCGGCGGCCCTTTTACCGGGTGCTTCAGGTGTACGAGAACGCGTCCGTGCTGCTGCCTGCATTCTACAACACGCGCAACACCGACGTGTCCATCCGCGTCAAGTACGTGCTGGACGACTTCGAGTCGCCGCAGGCCGTGTACTACTTTCACCCGCAGTACCTGGTCAACGTGTCGCGCTACTGGCTCAGCCTCGGGGTGCGCGCCAAGCGCATCAGCACCGGCCTCATCCTGGTCACGGCGGCGCTGGAACTGTGCGAGGAGGTGCACCTGTTCGGCTTCTGGGCCTTCCCCATGAACCCCTCGGGCCTCTACATCACCCACCACTACTATGACAACGTCAAGCCCCGCCCGGGCTTCCACGCCATGCCCTCCGAGATCTTCAACTTCCTGCACCTGCACAGCCGCGGCATCCTGCGTGTGCACACAGGCACCTGCAACTGCTGCTGAGGGCGGCGCAGGCTGCCCGCCAGCCCGGCACACGGAACCTCGCTCCTCCTCGCCCGCCCGCCCGCCCGCAGGGCAGGGTGAAGGCCTGGCGCTGAGGCTGGCACGCCCTCGGACGCTCGGCTTCGGGCTTGGGTCCTGTGGGCTGGGAGGCTGGGCTGGGGGCCAGGCGGAGTCAGCTCCGTGCCGAACGCCCCCCACCTGCGCACGGGTAGCGCGCTGCTGGGCCACACCTCAAGGTCGCGGCCCTGGGGATTGCAAGGGAATCAAGCACATTTCCACTCAGTTTTAGCAACCAAGAGAGCACAAACTGTATGGCCTCTTTGCAGGTAAAGGAAGGCCCCAGCGGGAACGGAAAAGAGGGAGACAGGACATGTGAGCATGGTTAAGATTTAACTCAGGATTTTGGGTTCCTGAGCCTTATACCCAGGCCTCAGCCCTGAATTGTTGTAGAGAACCTCAGAGCTTAGAGGCCAACCCAGTGGCCGGACCTTCCTGTGGGGACAATGGCTCAGAGAGGTCCAGGGATTACCAACCAAGGTTCCACCAACCGAGTCCATTAAGCGGCACTGTGAGATCTGATGCAAGGCCTGTGTGTTCCGATCTTCGCCGAGACACCGTCAGCCAAGGAGAGCCACACCCTTCAAACGCATCCGCAGGCACACACATAAGTCTTGGTGCCTCCACGTTCAATCCTGCTTTTGATCTTTTGATGAGAAGGAAATAAACCAGACCAGCCATTTGCACTAAGGTTTCCAAGCCAATGTTATCGACTCAATAAGTGCTTAGCGACTTGCTTCCTCTTCTGCCTCCCTATCTTCAGCTCTGTTTTAACCAGGAGTTATTTATAAGATCCATCCCTCTGTGTGTTCCTGAATACTGCAGAATCCTGCTGTATAATGTTCCTGAATTGGAACCGTAAGGCTCCAGACTGGAAAATGCTGACATGTGACTGGTGAGCTTAGCGATGGAAGTGAGCCATGGTCTCTGACACCAGCATCACTGAGGTTCTACTGTAAAGGCGGGACTTCCCACAGCGCTCAGCCTGGTGGCCTTCACATGCATGGACCCACAGGGCCTCTGCTTTGGGAAGTCAGCTGGACCCAGGCTAAAAGGGGTTCACATGTCATTTCACATCCCTTTGCTTCCCCCGTGGTGTTTTGCCTTAGAATTTTGCGTGGTATGAATTGCCTTAGAATTTAGCTTTGTGGAATCGTAGAGTATTAGTCCTGAAAGATCTTCGGCTCCCTCCCTCCCCCTCCCCCTCCCTTCTTTGCTCTCACCCTTCTTCCCTTCCTCCTTTCTCCCCTCCTTCCCATAAATATTTCCAGAAGCCTATTCTGCTTTGCTTTGGGGCTGGGCTTGGGAAGACAAGGTGACACATAAAGGCAGTATCTCTGTCTTCTAGGAGTGGAGGGCAGACCATAGGCAAATTCTGGCCCCGCCCACTGGGTGTTCAGAGTGGGAGGGACTGTGAGAGCACAGCAGGGAACGGGACCTTTCATCTGATCACCTCATTTTACAGGCAGAGCAATAGGCCCAGCTGGTGAGAGACAGGTGGACACAGGCCTTGTCCCGGGCCCCCAGGCTCCCCATCCAGGGCAGAACCCCTTCCTCTTGCCTGGATTTCATGTTGGTGGGCCAATATAGAGCAAGTACTCCATGCACGACACTGCTTGCACGACACTGCTTGCACGACACTGCTCTAGATGCTGGCCTTGCTTCTGAGCGCTGGTCCTCACTGGGAAAACCTGGGGCTGCTCTGAACCCGTCTGATTGTCTGCAGAGCAAGGAAGTAGCCAATGAGGTAAATTAGGCCCAAGCACTTGGCGAACCAGGAAACACTACTAAGGACGGTGGATGGTTCCTTGTGCTCTGCCTATTTCTCCCAAGGAAGGAATGTCTGGAAAGATTCCAGTTAACTGAGGTTTCCAGCCACTTGTCTGTGGTTAATTGAGCCCCTTTCTTGAAACTACAGAATGTCAGAACTGGAAGGCTCTTAAAGACCATTTTGTCCCACGTAAGGAAACAGGCCCAGAACAGGGAGGTGACCTGGGTCAAGTCGTGCCAGGGGCTCTGTTGAGTGCCTGCTGAGGACAGAGCCCTCTGCCAGAAGCCCTCTGTTAATGTTCCAGATGGGGCAGTGTTTGGGGGCAAGAGCCTTGGTGAGTCAAATACCATGGTTCTCACAGCCAAGGGTGTCATGGGCTGGTGTCTGCCCCAGCCAGGTCCCCTGTAGGGGCTGGGGATGGAGCCTCATGACCCATCCTGTGAAGGAGCTGGACTCCTTGCTCTCGGTCCTATTTAAGTCTCTAGGTCTTAGGGCAAGTCCCCTCCCCTCCCTTAGGGTCTCTGTTTCTTCATCTCTACAACTAAAGGCTTAAAAAATATCCCTAGGGTCTCTGTAATCTTTAATTTTATTTAAGTTTTTGGAAGTACTAATGATGTATGGATCTAAGCCATAAATAATATTTATTATTATAACAGCTAAGATTTACTGCACGCTCATTCTGTGTCAGGCCCTACACTGGGCACTTTCTTTGCACTGTCTCCTGTGATCATAACAAAACCCCCTTGGGTAAGAAGGCTCCGTTGGACAGGTGGGGAAACTGAGGCTCAGAGCCATTCAGTGTCTGGCAGATGGCCAAGCACCCGGTGGAGGAAACCTGCGTCTGTAGAGCCCCAAAGCCTGTGCTCCAAACCTGTCTTAGCTGCTTCCTAGCCAGTGTCACCAGGGCTGGAACAAGAGGGATCCTGACTGAGAGGCCACTGTAGGGTGGTGCTGGGCCCCGCTCTAGGGACTTTGCTCTGGGAGGCTGTTACGGATCCAGGAGGGAGGCTGCTTGTAGGTGCTCCCCCACCCACCCAGCCCTGGCCCTGGCAGCAGTACAGATGCACCCACAGTGCAATGTATGCAGGGGAGTTGGGGCCGTCTCCACATATTGCAGAAGGGGTACATATTAAAAGATAGCACGCTGGGGGACTTGCCCAAGGCCACATGGCTGGCTAGTGACTCAACTGGGACTCAGCCTCCTGACTTCCAGGCTACACTTTTCTCCTGCAGTCAGTGTTTGTAGGCAATGCACCTTTTCAAAGGCTCGAAGAGACCTGGGCGTTGACTCAGGAAGCCCCACCCCACAACTTTCCTCGCAACTCCACCCCCATCCCACCATGCAGACTACCAGTGACACTCTTGTATAAGGGAAATCAATTCCCCAAAACAAAACAACCATCGTGTCTTCCTTTGTGCTAAGCCCACTGCTCCAGGCTTGAAAGGCAGCAAAAACAAGTACGCGACTTGGTGCTCAGCCAAGCAAAAAGGAAGGTGGCTCAAGGTCAGATGTGGCCTCTGAGACCGTTTCAGCAATGCTGCTGCGGCAACTCTGCCCACTAATCACCTGGTGCTGCAGAGAGCAGGGAGCCCATTGCCCTTGACTCTGCTGAGTAAGTGGAGAAGGGGGGAAGCAGTGGCAGCACTTCCTGACAACTGAAGGACAGCACAGAGCTGGCTTCAGCCAGGCATTCAGCAAATTGTTACTGAGCGCTCATTTTGTGCTGGGCATCGGGCGAGGGGCCGTCGAACTAGTGATGAGCAGAATTTAGCCCCAGCCCTCTTGGAGCTTATGGTCCGGTGGGCATGTCCAGATGCTGAACTGAGTCCCCCAGGCACACGTAGGAGCTGAGCTGAGTGCTAGCAAGTCTGGGCTCAGGGGCAGTTAGCACGAGAGGAACACCTGGCCATGCCGAGGTCAGTCCTGAATTCTGAAGGTTGGCAGAATGATTGTAATTGTCAAAGCAGTGGATCCATGTCAGGCCTCATCCTCAACATCCATGTGACGTGTGACAGGGTGACCACACTGGTCTTCTGAGTCCTCTCTTCCTTTTTATTTTTTTATAAGGAACCACTTTCCCCCGACTTTCCTCCTGCCTCTCTGAACCCTCCTGCTCAGGCTTATTTGTTGACTCATCTGCTGTGAAGCTTCCTCAGGGTTCTTTTCTCTTTCTAGGAGCATTTCTGCAGAAACCACATCTGTTCGCAGCCTCAAATCTCTCCTGTCCTTGCATCTTACACCCCTCTCCTGGAGGCCATTTCTCCCTTGGAGCATCAGGAACACGCTTGCCATGGCCGTCTGAATGTCTGTACCTGCTCAGCATCTCAGACCTCAACATGTCCTCAACTGGTATAGTTAAAAGGGCAATCTGGGTTCAAAGTCATGTGCCCTTACTTACTAGTGACCTTGGGGGAGCTACCAAAGCCCCTGGAGGCTCTGACTCATCACCTGAGGTTGAGGCCAGGACACCAGCCTCACCAGCTGTGGAATAGGGTTTCACAATGCCTAGCACAGTGCCGGCACAAACTAGACACCCAGAGAGCAGTTTCCCTCTTCCTCCTTTCTTCCCCTGCTGAATGGCTCTACCACATCAATGGCCCTTCAGCCCCAGACCTGGGTCACTCTTGGCTCTTCCTTCTCCTTCACTTTCTATGTCTATTTGTTCACCAAATTTTATCAATTCTGATTCATAAATATCCCTTGAATTCATTCCCTACCTGCATTCCTTCTGCCACTGCCCTAACTCAGACCCTTTTGACTGACCGTTCTGCTTCTAGAGAATTAACTTCTGGAAACACCTTTGGTGGAGCCCATTGCCATCTTATACCATATAGTCCAGATTCCTTACCCAGATGTGCAGAGTATGTCCCAAGCTGGCTCACTCACCTTTCCAGAGACCCTCCTGCCAGCACCATCCCTCTAATACTCCTCTAGGTGCTGTGCCTTTGCACAAGCTATTGGAAATGCCTGGAATGGCTCCACATTCCAACCTCCTCCCTCCTCCCCTTTACCCCACCACTTCTGCAGATAATGTCAGGTGATGGTCCCCACCTCTTCCCCTCTGTGAAGCTGGGCTGGGCACTCTCTGTGCTTCTGCAGCAACCATCACTGACTTCTGTTAGGATGTCCTCACAGCACTACATGTGTCCTTGGCCGAGGCTCTGTCCTTTCCCCAGGAGAATGCATTGTACCTGGCTCATCTTGGTGCCCTCAGCACCGGCACAGAGCCATGTGTTAACTATAGCAGTGGGGTGTCTGGTTAGCTGGTGGGTTCCAGTGGTTCAGGAGACCCCATTAATAAACCGAGTGACACCCTGGGGTA